GGTGCCCTGGGTTTCTTGGGTCTCGATGGTTTTTCGATGGACAACGTGACGTTCCCACACCAAAAATCCATGGACGTCCTGGGGTCTCAGGGTTGGGTCTCTGGTGGAAGGTTTCCTGTGGACTGGCCTCCACTGCACCAACAGGGGGCGGCCCCCCCCCCTGGCCGAGGTGTACCTGACTCTTGGCGCGGAGGCGGCCCCCGGCTCGGCGCCGCTGCCCCAGGACGCTGCGGCGCACGCGCCGCGGCGGAGGGCGCCCGGGCGGCCCGCCGGGGGAAGGCGCCGGCGCCCCGCAGGGGGGCAGAGCCGCACGGAGATCGGCACGAACGAAATGGGTACGGAAAGAATGGGTACGTAATGCCCAACAGCGGTACCTGTCCATTTTGAACAGGACTCGCTGTCCGCGCCGCCGCGGCCTGTGTCCATTTGAGACAGAAGGCCGCCTGCCCAACAGCGGCCGCTGTTGGTTTGGGAGAACATTTGTTACCCATTTCGGGCGTCCAAAGGAGAGCACCCATTTTTCCGTACCCATTTCGGGCGTCCAAAGGAGAGCAAGCGGCAATAGAAACGTCCACGACTCGCGCAGAGCCCTTCGGGCCGTGAAAGCATCACGGCGCGGCAGGTTTTTGTTCGGCCTCCGGGGGACCTTCCTACCGGGCCTGGCCTCGGGGCAGTCAAAAAAGGACTGGGGATGAAAAACCCGATCACGACGCCAGGTTTGCCGCTATTTTCAGCCTCTGGGGGCGCAAGCTACCCGGGCCTCGGGGCAGTCGAAAAAGGACTCAGGACGAAAAAGCCCGTCCCGACGCCAGGTCTTGCCCTATTGTCAGCCTCCGGGGGCCCCAAGCTACCCGGGCCTCGGGGCAGTCAAGAACGGACTCGGGACGAAAAGCCGGTCCTGGGGAGGGGGTCGAGACCTTCGGGGGCCGACGCTGTGAAGCAGCCACGGCGTCGGGGGCCTGGGCGCTGCCACCGAGATGGGCGCCGACGGAGCGGGGGCGAAGGCCCCGGGAGCCGGGAGCAGCTCCAGCCCAGCTCCTCCTCTTCCTCCTCCTCCTCCTCCTCCTCCTCCTCCTCCTCCTCCTCCTCCTCCTCCCCCTCCTCCTCCTCCTCCTCCACCTCCTCCCCCTCCTCCTCCTCCCCCTCCTCCTCCTCCTCCTCCTCCTCCTCCTCCTCCTCCTCCTTCGAGCAGGCGTCGTGGTCGGTGCCGCCGCGGGCGCTGCCCGCTCGAGGCAGGAGGGGCTGCCTGCCCGGCGGCGGCCGCCGTCGGTTTGGAGCGGCGGTTGTTGCGAGGACTCGTGCCCGTTGGTTCCGTACCCGTTTGGGGGTTGGCCGCTCGCAGCCTCTGGAGGGGCCGATCACCACTCACCAAGCCCCCCCAACCCAACCCGAAGGCCTCCATTTGCCCTCCAACTTCCAGTTGGGGGGGTTCGTGGAACGCTGAACAAAACCACATGGAACCCGTACCCCCCCCAACCCGAAATTCGGGTCAAATTCAGGTCTTCGGGCTGGTTTGGGGTGGTCTGGTAGGTAGTCCGCCGAGCTTCAGGCTCCGGGGCCGTTCCAGAGCGACTCTCGGGGATGAAAAAAGCCTGCCCATCGGGACCTCCATGGGGCAGGCGCCGGCCGACGACCCGGGGTGGGAGCAAACGTAATCAGAGGCCCCAGGAGAAAAAAGTTGCGGGTGTTTCGGAAGTGTGTGCATGGCAGAGCGTGGGCGTATGCTCAGGAGCGCAGACGGAAAGCACTTGCGATTCAAGGTGCGCCTTGCTTTACGCGGTGTATGTTGGAGCATCGTGAGATGGAACGTTCAGATGAGGACAACGCTGCAAATTGGCATATGATTGTTGGGGTAGGCAAGCTGGGCTTCTTCATTATAACTAGCCCGTGCCAGCTGCGATGTCTGAGCTAAGCAACCTAGAATATGTCATGAAGCCTTGGCACATCTTGGCACGATGCATAATCTCAACATAATGCGTAAAGTCTCGAGCACGCAAGGCTGGAACTGGAGCAGACCGGTTGGAGCTCGAGCTGAGTCCAGGCTGGAGTTGGAGACAAATTGCAGGTGGGCAGGAGCTCGTCGTCTAGACGTGGAGTTGGGGCTGGAGCTAAGTCGGAACTGCCGCAGGGATGGAGCTGGGGCTGACGCGAAGCTGGAGCTAGAACATGGGCTGGAGCTGGAGTTGGAGATTGGTAGGACTTCGGCTAGAGCATGGTTGGAGTTATTGCAAAAGCTGAAACTGCAACTGCGGCTGGAGCTCGAGCGGGGCTGGACTGGAGCCAAGCTGGAGATGGGGTTCGAGCTGAAGCGAAGCTGGAGCTGGGCCTGGGGCTGGGTGATGTAGATGAACGGAAGCTTGAGCTGGAGCTAGAACATGGCTGGACCTGGGTTGAAAGTAGGTCTGGGGCTGGCTGGAGCTGGGGCTGTGGCGTGAGATGGACCTAGGACTGGGCCTGGAGCTGGGGCTGGGGCTGGGGCTGGCGCCGGAGCGAAACTGGACGTGGAGCTGGGGCTGGAGTTCGGGTTGCAACTGGAGCAAAGCTGGAAATGGAGATGGTAGTGAGCTTGGTCTGGAGCGGGGACTGGACTCGGAGCGGGACAATGAAATCATGACGAGCCCCACTCGTGAAAGGGATGACTCGAAACGCTCAACAGCGCGCCCGTATTTGGATGGCTTGGCAACATGAAGAGCACCAAACGCCGGAGGGTTGGGTCTGGGCGTTCGCAATCAGGCCCAGGCGTTTGGTTTCGGCACCACGCAGAGCACCAAACATGAGAGGGTCGCCCCCATCTAATCAGAATCGGTCCTGGGAATTATTTTTCAATCGACGCCAAGAGCGGCGCCCCTGGGTTGGTGAACCTGGGTGATCAGAACCATGCCTAGACGTAGAGTTCTGGCAGCACCGAGCCAAACACACATTCAGGATGACATGCAAGCCGGCCTTGGTGACAGGACTGGGACTCCTGGCGATTCCGAGTTGACAAATGCAAGGCATAGGATTGCTGGGCGAGGGTCGGGCGTTGCAAGAAGTGGCCTGAGGGCCGAGGCGCTTTCCTCGACTTCGCAGTGTGAGGGCCGACAGGGGTAGGGAGGTCCTGCAACAATACGTGTGTACCGAGAGCCCACGAGAGCCCACGCTCAGGCTCCCTGGGCGGGTGGTAATGGGGGGTGGCCCACATGGGGGGCGAAGAACAAGGCCCCAAAGGGGCCATTTGGGGCCCCTTTGGGGCACCAGCGGGCTCCGAAAGGGGCCCCAAAGGGCCCCTGTAGGGCCCCTTTCTCCACCTCCCGTTTAGGTCACCCCCCTCATTACCACCCGCCCGAGTTCTGGGCCTCCCAGATAAGGGGGGTCCGAGCAGACGGGTCGGGAGATCGCGCCGCATCCGGCGGCGCATCGGCGACGCGGCTCGATGTGCAACGCCCAGTGTTCCGCCGCCCGCCCCCCAAGCAAGCACATGGGGGAGCCACTCGCGCATACAGTCGGGGCCCTGAAGAAGGAACCCTTTTCGTTGGGGAGGGGCTCCGTGTTCCTTGATTGTTGCACAGCCTGCCTGAGGTTTCCCTAAGGTTTTCCTACGGTGTTCGATGGGAAGTCGAACTTTAACTGATGGGAAACAGGGGCCTCGGTCCTTATTTAGCGTTCCTTCGGTCAGCGCCCCCACTGTACGTTCCAGCGCGGTGCACCTGCGGGGTTGACAGCCCGAGACGCGATGCGGCAGCGGCGGGCGTGTGCCTTGGCATCGCTCGGACGTGTGCATTTTTCCTTCGGCGAGGACCATCGAGGAGCATCCTTGATCATTTGGCGAAAAAACCACCCACGAAACCGAAAAAAACACAGGAAATGGACGTCCGAGCGATGGCGAGGTGCTGGCACGGGCGGGAGGCCGGGGGCCGCGCCTGGCGCCCCCGGGGGGGGGGGCACCACCTCCCGGGGCACCTCTGGCAGCTCCCGACCTGAGGCTCCCAACCTCCCCAGACCTCCGAAGTGTTGAAAAAATCAAGACGGAGGTGTTCCTCGATGTTCGGCCTCTGGCGGCCGTCGCCGGGCCCCGGGACTATCAAGAAACGACCCAGGATGAAAAACCGGTCCTGGAGAACAGGTCGAGACTTCCGGGGACCCCGCATTGAAAACAATCACGACGTCGGATCTCTGGGTCAGACCCCCCCCGAGCAATGAAAACATCACGACGGGAGGGTTTTTTACCATTTTCGGCGCCTGGGGGCCCCTACCGGGCCTCGGGACCGTCAAGAGACGACTCGGGTCCCAGGGAATAGATCGGAACCTCTGGGGGTCGACGTCATGAAAAAATCATGACGCCGGAGGTTTGGGAATGGGGGCACGAAGGTTGGGGACGAGGATCGGCAGTAGTCCCTGTCCACGTTGAGCAGGGCCCGCCGTCGTCCCATGTCCTCGGCATCGCGCGGACGTGTGCATTTCTTCGGCGAGGACCATCGCGGAGCATTTGTGTTCACCTCGTGCAACAATACACGCAAGAAGCCGGAAAATGCAAAGGGAATGGACGTCCGAGCGACGGCGAGTGTCGGTTTTGGACAAGATTCGCCGACTGAGATCGCCCTCTTTCTACACCGAAAACACAAACAACCTAACCCTAATTACACGATGAAGACGTGGCCTCACTAGGTCCCCGTCTGTTCCTTAGGGATAAGGTAATCTAGACGGTTTGTTTCGATACATCTGACGCAAAGACCCGTATCCCTAGTTTTTGGGGGTTGTTCTCTCCTCTCCGTCCGCACATCTCGGGCGTGCCGATCACAGAGGTCAGCGCCACAGCGGTGTTGGGCCAGTCTCCTCGGATCGCCGACCCGGTTTTTGTTGGGCGACGGGCAGAGGTCCACGACATGGCTTTGGCTGGACCAGGTTAGCGCTGAGCGTCCCCCAACAAATACCAGGAATACTATGTGTTCTAAACTCGATGTGGCTCCATGTGTGGTTTACTTTCTGTGCTCTGCCCTGTTTCAACAAGTTTCTCGACGCTGCCTTCCAACTGCTTTCGGGTGGGCTTCTTATGTGGTTTCAGTTGTTTCTGCACTGCTGGGGGGAAGTTTCGCAGCTTCGAGCCTCTGGATGCCTCCAGAGGCCTCCGGAGGCTTCCATGGGGCCGTTGGGGACGCACGGGGCGGCCGCGGGCCCGTGGAGATCCCAAGAGACCTCGCAGGAGGAGGATCGCAGGTCGAGGAACAACGAGGTCTTACCGTATCTGGCGGCCTCTGGGGCGCTCTGGGCGTCACGGCCCGATCCGCCGGCGATGCCCCGATTTGTTCAGCACGGGCCCCCCCGAAGGTCCCAACCCTTTGCCCCCGGGGCCTGCCCTTCGTCCCCGCGGCGGCCGGGAACGGCCAAAGGCCTCCGCCCTGTCCGTCGTTCCAGGCGTTTCAGGGAGACAGTCATCGGGTTGGGAGGGTGGTGCTGGGAGAAATGAGGGTGCCATTGCTCGTAGGCGGCGGAGGGTATCGTCCATTACATCCGGATGCTATTGCTCATGCCCGTCATCCTCCCAACTCCTCCCACCCAACTCGATAATTGTTCTCCGCAGCGTTGGATGTCTGGGATCCCCGATCCTCGGCCCTCGGTCCCGGAAGCGGGAAGGCTGGACACGGCGCTGCAGACCTCCGTCTCGGCCGTTCGCGCTCCAGGCGCTCTCTATCTGGGCCCGGAGCGGAGCGCCCTGACCCCGTTGGGGGCACCCGGGGTTGTCCTTTCGGTCGGCCGCGAAGGCGGGGCGCCGGGAGCAGCGCCGCGGTGCCGGCTGGGTGCTCGCGGGAGGCATCCGTCTTTTTGTGTTTCTTTTCCGAGCGATGTGCCATAGAGAGGAGAAGCAACACCAACACCACCAGGGGGGCCACCTCCAGTGAGGAGGTCCACGATGCCTCCCCGAGCTGCAGGCGGGGGATGTCTCGGGCGAGAGGGGGGACCACACCATCAGGGAGACCACCCCTTGCTCCTCGCATCTCCGCGCCCTGGTGGTGCTGGTGTCGGCTTGCCTTGTTCTCGCTGTGGGGGGTCGAGCAGTGCTGCGGTCGGCCACGGAGTCCCCATTCTGCCTTCTCGCGCCTGCCATCTCGCCCCCGCACCCGTGCCTTGCGGATATGGGCCAGGAGGGTCGGCCAATGGCTGCCGGGAAGCACGAGCAGACGACTCTGGCCGCCCCGCGGCCTCTCCGTGCGCTGGCTCTGGGCTCCCGGGGGTGCGCCGGCCGTGGCCGCTCGGGGCCGCCCGTGGCTTGGGTTTGCGCCGGGTGGCCGCCTCGGAGAGGTGGCGCCACGCGGCTTGCGCTGCACAGCTCGCGCCACGCAGCCTGCACTGCGCACAGCGGTCGCCGCCGCAGAGATCTCCCATCACGCAGCCTGCGCATCCCGAGCGCAGGAGCTCACTGCCTCGAGGGGGCCTGTGGGGGGGCCCGTTGGGTCGTCGGGGGGTCGTTTTTTGGCGCGACGGTTCTGCCGAGCGTTCCCGAAGGGGCTCGGTGAAACCATCTTGGATGCTTTCAGTTGTGGCCTCCGGAAACGCGCCAACATCGCAGAGCGGATGTCATTTGGAAAACAATGGGATGGTCACAGATTGTTTTGGAGTGTCGTGCTGGATTTCGAAAGGAATTTTGTGCAGATTTCTGGGGCCGGGAATCAAGTTTACAAACAATCCACGTGACAATTGACACTTCGTTTTTCGATCGCCCTTTCGGAGTTCGGCACTGGCGGAAATCCGTGCAGAAATCCGCTGCAGCGCGCAGGGTCGGTGCTGGGCGCTGGGGCCACCAAGAAAGCGTGGCGGCCAGTTGCTCGTCGCTCTGTCGGCGTCCGGAGGCCGTCGTATACGGGCCCCCGGGCCATGACGGAACGATTCGGGAGGAAAAACCGGCCACGAGAAAATTTGGCATCGCTCGGGCGCGTGCATGTCTCTTGGCGGGTACCAGCGAGGAGCATCTTCGATCACCTAGCGGAGAAAAACGCACACGAGATCCGGAAATGCACGAGGAATGGACGTCCGAGCGATGGCGAGGAACGGATCGAGATCAGGCCTCCAGGGGCAGTTGTTCATGGCACTCCAGGGGCCATGTTCGGGCGCTGGGGCCATCAGAAGTAGATATCAGGGACGTTGCCCCCGGGGAAGGCGTTGGGACCTCCTGGTGCACGCGGCGTGAAGAATCGATCCACTGGATGTATGGGCGTGCATCCCTGCCTGGTCGGCCAATCCTTGCCCGCCTGGCCTGTCCTCACCAGCTCTTCCCGTCCCTGCCTCGTCGTCCCACCGTCCCACAGGTCTTGCGCTCTTACCCTCGGGGGTGGACAGAACCCCCAATAGTGACACGTCGATTAGTGAATTGTCCGTTTTCGGTTCTCGAGAGGGCGCCGTGGCTGTTATTTTCCAGGCTGGCGCCCGCCAGGTTTGGGCCTCAGGTCGTTTTCACTAAACCACGTTTTACTAAAGGGGGGTCTGTCCATCCCCGATACCCTGTTCTCACCGTGGGCTGCAGGCGGTGTCGTTCAGAGGGGCAAGATCTTGCGGGCGTGTGCTGAGCTCTCTAGGCGTTCTGGAATCCAAGCGCGGGTCCTCGGAGATGTCGGCGGGCCGCGACGGGCCGAGCGGCTGCCCAGCGCTCTTCGCGCTGTATTCCTCTGACGACCTCCCTGTCCTCCGCAGTAGCGGCAGCGGTGATGCTACACTCCCAGCGGCGGCGATGCAGTGGGGGCCCATGCCAAGAAACATCATGCTTGCCTCCAGGGTGCCTTGGGTTTCTTGGATCCCGACGGTTTTGCCACGGAAAGCGCGACGCTCCCACACCAAACATCGACGGACGTCCTGGGTCTCAGGGTTGGGATTCTTGTGGGAGGTTTCTTGTGGAGGGTAAAGGCTTAGGTCGGGCATGTCCTCCTGCAGGCGGATTCTGTAAGACAAATCAACATGGTCGAACAAATGCTCGAAAAGAATCAAAAGAATGATCGAACATCGTCACCATTAGCATCTGTTGGCTATTCTTGAACATGCTTCCTGTGGACGGACAGGCCCGACTTAACTGCACTCGCTTCGCTCTGCCGGCTCTCCCTCTGGTTCCCTTCGCGGTGCTCCTGGCAGGGGTGGTGTTCACCTCGCCGTGGCGTCCCGCGTGGCGCCCAAGGGGGGGGGGCGTGGCCGTGTCGGCGCCCTGCCCGTGGCGGTGCGTGCGGCGCAGGGAGGCTTGCCGCGCGCCTACGAATACCCAAAGTTGGGCACGTCCCTCTACAGGAGGCATAATTATTCAAGAATAGCCCACAAATGCTAATGGTGGCGATGTTGGATCATTATTTTGATTATTCCTGAGTGCGTAAGTGTTCGACCATGTGGATTTGTCTTCCAGAATCCGCCTGTAGGAGGACATGCCCGACCTAAGCCTTTACCCTCACCGTCACCCGTGCGCGGCTTCTGCGCGCGCGCCCGCCCCTACAGCCCAGGCGCTGAAATACGGGCAGCTTCGGGCTCGGGAGAGGCTCTGCTTGTCGGGCCGCTCCTCAAGCCGTGGGTCGGGGAGCCTACGGTCGGGAAACATTTGCACCGCGCGCCGCTCCGCCAGTTCTGGCCCAACGCGCTGCGGCGCGGCGCGCGGTCCACTTCAGAGTCCCGAGGCGGCAGCGTCCCGAGCCTTTCCGAGCCTCCCGCCGCGCGAAGCGGAGGGACACGCTATCCAGTCGCAAGGCACAGCGTGCCGCCGGGGCCGCCGCGGCGGCACGCCCTCCTAAGCGTTCCAGACCGCACTGGTGGCCGAGGCTCGCCGTGGCCAGAGAAGCCCCGTTCTCTGGCACGGTGACTGCGGCAGGCTGTTGGCTGGGCAGGCCTGCGTGCGCGTCCCCCTTCCCTTCCCCGCTCGCCCTCCCGCCCTCCCGCCCCCCCCTTTTCTCCCGAGGCGGTGCGCAAAGGGAGGGCCTGCCGTGGTGCGCGTGTGTCGGCTTCTGCCCCTCGGCGCCGCGACTGCAGCCCCCGAGCTCCGCAGCACGACACGACTGCACCCCGCAGTCTGGGCCTCCCTTCCCGCCCGCTCTGCCCCCTGCAAGAGAGGGCAGTTGCGTTCCACAGCCCTCTCCTCTCCTCTTTGAGTTGCACCTGGGGCGGGCGCTTAGCCCCTGCTTTGTCAAAGCACATGCTGTTGCTTCTTCGGGGGCTCATGGTGTCGGCAAGGGCGGCTGGAGAGGTGATGCTGCATGGTCTGCGACCCGCAGAAGAGATGTATACACCACCGCCATGCCTGACCAGGGCTCTCCTGGGCCCCAGGATTAGTTTTGACCTTCTTGGTCTGTGCCAGGCGGGCGTAGAAACCATGCCAGGGCCCAGAGCCTGGGCAGGCACGCTGGCGGCGTATAGGTGCCCTCTGCGTCTAGGGGTGCCCCAGTGAGCATCGGGGCGACAGCGGGCTGCAAGGAACAGGAGGAGGAAGGGCTGCTTTGCTTCCTGCCCGCCCAGCCCCTCGAGCGCACGGTGCGCGTGCGGTGCTTCGACTCGCAGGCAGACCAGCAGGCCCGTTACCGCGACTGGGTCTCCGACAACGCGGACGCGGTCCACCAGGCGACAGAGGGCCGCGTGGGCTACGTGCACGTGCCGGACTGCGACCGGGAGGGCTTCGCCCATTTCCACCGCTGCTACCTCACCGAGTGCCACAGGGAGGCCGGCGGCCTTCTGAAGTGTGGCGCCCTGCCTCCCCACGAACGGGTTCGTCTTGGTGGGAGTTCTGGCTCCCCCCTCCCGCACTCGTCGTGCCTCGCTTCTTCAGCTCCTCCTTGTCCTCCTCCTCCTCCTCCTCCTCCTCCTCCTCCTCCTCCTCCTCCTCCTCCTTCGGAAATATTATCCTCTTCCTACACTTTATCCTCCTCCTCCTCCTCCTCCTCCTCCTCCTCCTCCTCCTCCTCCTCCTCCTCTCTCTCTCTCTCGCCCTTCCTCATCATCCCCCACTTCCGCCTCTGTATCTTCCTCCTTATCTTTCACCTCCTCCGCCTCCTCCTCCTCCTCCCTCGTTCTTCATCCTTATCCTCCTTTCCTCCTGCTCTTCTTCCTTCTCCTCGTGCCGCCCCTAGTTCCTGCTGCTGCTCCTCCTCATCATCGTCCCCACAGGACCCCTTGGACGGACAGATGCTATGTCATCTGTCTCTTCAGCCCCTGCGCGGCTGGTACAGAACAAAGTATTTTGTCGGGTTTCCAACTATTGTTTCAGTCGCTGCTTCGATGAGCGTGCAATTCATCCTTCCATCCATCCTTCCTATTCCTGCGAGCATTGCGAGTACTACTATCACTATTATGATTGCTGTTGCGTGTGCCACCACTACTGCTGGACCACGGCGCATGCCATGTGCGCCACAGGTTCCAGGCGCACCAGGCACTCTGGAGGCCCAACCGTGCCAGGCGGGCCAGGTGCGCCATGCGCTCCATGTGTGCCAAGTGTGCCACATGCTCCAGCCGCGCCAGGTGTGCCTCGCGCGCGGCGCTCGCAGAGTGTGCAAGGTGCGTGTCTGAAGTGCCGTCATTGGATGGACAGCTACGGGGAAAAATACAGCGGGGGGCCCGCGCATGATCCAGACGGCGTCACAAAGTGAATGTGGTGCTGTTTGTTGACAGGCATGGTCAGCGTGCGCGCAGCAAGCAGTGTGCCGCCATGCCCGCCGTCTCTGTCAAAACCATGCGAAGTGGTCGCGGGGCGCCCGCGCATGCTCCAGGTTTGGAGGCAAAGTGCATATGTTGCATATTTTGCTGACAATTTGGATGGTTGGGTTGCGCGTAGCAAGCAATATGCCGGCACCCCCGCCGTCCTTTTCAAAGCCAGTGCAAAGTGGTCTTGTGGCGCCCGCGCATGCTTCAGGTTTGGAGTCAAAGTGCATGGTGTATTGTTGTGTTGACAAGGAGTGGGGGGGAAGTGCTTGGCATGGGTCCAGGTTGGCCGCTGGTCGACTAAGGGAGGGGGTATTGATTGATAGAAAGCAGTGATAATCCCCTTCCCGAAGGAACAGGAGAAGAGGAGACACGTGTGAGTATTGTCCCCGGCCCCGCTTGGGCAGTAGCCCTGCGTGGCGTCCACTGGCGGTTGATAAGGGGCGTGTTCATGCCAGTGCCAGATTTCGACATGGTGCAACCTCTCCGCCGGGCCGCCGTCGCACTTGATTCACGCGTAGCACTGTTTGACCAAGGTCCCCCTGATGGGGAAACTGACGGGGCTTTGAATGGAGAGCGTTCCGTTGGCTCAAGCACCATCTGCGATTCGATCCAAATCGGGAGTGGACACTCATCGTCGCTCACATAAGGTAACAGTACTTTTTGGCCATGACGTCGCCGAGTTCCTGTAATTCTTGGCCGCCCGCACTGTCGCGCCTGGCCCCCGGTCTGTCGCAGGGTGTGACTGAACCCCCAACTTGTCCGATCCTTGAAATTACCCCCCACGGGCATTGGAGCACGCAGCGCTGACAGCAAGACATTGGAGACTGGCAACACCTTCATCATCGTCTTTCACATCATCGTTACCGGCTTTACCGACGGATATCCGTCGGGTGTTGCTAGAAGTGTCCCTGGCCCAGGATAGACCCAGGATTCACGAGGCCCATAGGGCCCCAGGGGCTCCCAAACAGGGCTAAAAGCTGGGGGCGCCTTTTGGCCAGGGGCACTCCTAGCAACACGGGAACTCGTGGGAGGGGATCGGCCTTGCGGTCGCCCCTCTCCTCACAGTCGGCCCCTTATTCTCTGACCCCTCGTGCGTGCCAGCCCTCGCGCGGCGGACCCGGGTGGCTCCCTTTGCTTCGCGGGCTTTCGCACGCAACCGCAAGGGGATTGTGGATTCTGGCACGGCGAAGGCCGCCATTGTATACATCTGCCCAGACCTGTTCGACGCGCCTGGGGACTTTCACTGATCTGACCAATGCTCACCATGCCTTCGGCGATCCGACCTCACGCAACCGCCCCGACCGTTGGGCCCCGAGACCGTGGAGCTTGTACCCCCTACGTTCAGCAGCGCTTGCGGGAGTGTGTGTGTGTGGGGGGGATTTGCAGGCGGCAGCTTCGGTGGACGGAGTCTTTCCCAAGGTTCTCACCGCTTGCGGGGAGGGGGGCTCCTGCAAAAGCTGGGCTCAGTGGGCCCCGCAACTCGCAAGGCGCCCATTCATCAGGAGCATTAAACCTCCCCGCTCAAAGCTTGCGGGGGGGCAACTCCTGCAAGCGCCCTGTCTTTGAACGGTGGTGTGATTACGGCATTCGCTGTCCCCCCAGGTATCCCGGCATCACTGGGCCCTCGTGGTTCACTTGGACGCGCGACGTCTCCGCTCCAGAGCGCGTGGATCGTTCACCTCGCGTGGTTGAGCACGTCCACCCCGCGTGGTTGAGCAGGTCCGCACCAGCGAGTCTCGTCGCACGGTTCTTGAGCGTGGCATCGCACATACTCGCGCTGCCTCCGTCTCTCGACACCGCCCCGCCAGCCTCAAGTTTCTTCGTCGCCGCCCCCGACAGATCGATTGTTATGAGTCATGACAATCGATATGTCGGGGCGCCCTGCGCGGCGATGTCATAGCTTATGACATCGCCGCGCAGGGCGCTCACGGCCGCAGCCCCTCCCAGAAAAGCCACGCGGCGGTCATCAAAGGATTCCAGGATATCGACGAGGCTGTACATGTCGACCGTCAGGCCGTTGCTCAGGCGATTGCTCGAGTCGATGTGCCCCTTGTTTCTGCGATGCCAGGAGCGCGTCGACATTGCTTCCGTCAAGTCCGACTTCCAGCGCCCCAAGGCCGACGCCCTCGCGGCCCGAGATCAGAACGAATCACGAGTCACGAGCTCGACGCGGCGAGGCGCAGGCGCACGCGCTAGCCGCGCCTTGCGCAGGACTTGGCGCCATCCACGGACACGCGCGCACACGCGCACGCGCGCGCAAGAGCTTCGCGACATGGTCACACCCCAAGCAGCTGCCACGCGCTCCGAGACCCGCATCGCCCAACAGGGCGCACACGGCAAGCATTGCCTAGCCGAGAACACTGACAATCGACGCTTCGACGACTCCCACGCCACAGCCATTCCTGGATGGCCCGCCGGAGCCTTCGCACTTCAAAAGTCAGCGACTGAGATGCAGGTTGTCAGGGCCCAGACTGGCCAGCGGGGCACCGCTCCGGCTGACAGCGACGCCCCCTTGACATCTGAATGTCAGGCCTCGCTGGCGACGGCGGTCCACGCGCGCGGGCAGCACCGCGCAGTCCAAGTCAAGCAAAGAGATGCAGTGGCAGCGCGAGCGCCTGAGCGCCAGCCCGGGTCAGCGACGCAGCCAGAGGCTGCTTGATCCCACGAACAACGATCCCCGATTTTTTTCCCAGAAGTTGAACGACCATTCTCGCGCGACTAGAGGCCCAGAGATCCACGCAGGACTCGTGCTCAAGGGGCGCTAACACAATTGGCTTACCTCGCGCTTCTACGACGTTGAGGGCGCCGGCGACACAATTCACGATTTCGGGCGCATCAGCTCCTTGCGCATGCTCGACGACGACCTCGAGATATCCACGGCAGATTATGATAACGATGGAGATCCGCGAGACACCGTCACCAATCGTACTTGAGTCGTTACTTCGCGACCAGATCCCCCACCGCCCATGGGCGCGCGAAGGTGCGGCAATTTACAGGGACCGAAGAATGCCCCAGAACGTTGTTCTTGGCTCCACCAAGGACTCAATGACCCCATGGGGTTACACAGACTTCGACGAAATTACGATGGATTCAAAGAGCCTTTAGCTACCGTGGCAGCGAATCCGTCTGAACGCGAACAATGCAGCGTCGCTCGCAGCATGGGCACTTGAATTACATGATCGAACTGCAAGCTTCTACATGTCGGCTCGGGCACTCGACCTCCATCTCGCCTGACCGCCTTCCCTGGTCAGCCGTGCAATAGATCCCCGCGACCTGGCGCAGGGCCATCGACCACTTTCTGCCATGCGTTCGCATTCAATGGGCCCTGTCCATGCAGCGGCTGTTGCAGCCAGCCTCGCGTGGCAGGCCGCAGCGACTAACTCAAGCAAGGAAAAGCTCAACCGCGGAGCCCCGGCCGCCCGCCCAGCCCAAAGCTGTCGCGGAATCCGGGGCGCCGCCGCCCCTCGGACCGCGGCGGCCCGCCACCCCGAAGAAGGCGGGGGGTCGCCTGCCGCCCCGACACCGACGGCCGCAGTCGACTCCCAGGCGCGCGGCCACCCTCTCGGGACTCTCGCCGCCACTCCCGCGACGCGCGCCTCGGCCCCCGGCGCGGGCGCAGCCAGTCCTGGGGTTCTTACATTGGCGCAAGCCCCCGGCGCAGTCGGCCCCGATCCAGGGGCGCCCGCGGCCGCGCCAGCAATTGCGGCTAGCCTCGTTTCCCGGGGCGCAGTGGCCGACCATCCGGCCCGCGCCGCGGGCGACAGCGCAGCCTTGCGCGCTGCGTCACGTGCAGCGCAATGGCCCGCGAGCCTCCGAAGCGCAGTCGGCGCGCCGTCTCCCGGGACATCGACGCCGCCGAGGTCCGCGCGCACATCGCGTCTAAGAAGACGCGGCCGTGCAAGGGTTCGCGCAGCCAGGGCGCGCCCGCGCGCATCTCTCACCCTCTGCCAGACGAATGGTGGAAACGGTCCAGGGAGGATTTGGCCGCGGCTCGCGACGCGGCACTCAAGCTTATCGACGCC